CTGAACAAAAACAATGAAAGACTGGCTGGAGGGCCACATCTTAGTCTTTAAAATGTATTCATTAGCACTTTGGAGAGGTCTTTGACAGCAGATCTGCCCAAGGCAACATGTCTTTTGATTTCCTGACTGCTGGAACCAAGGATGTTGACTGTGGATTCAAGGAAGATGAACTAGTTGACAGCTTCAATCTTTGCTCCGTCTATCATGATGTTGCCTTTTGGCCCAGGCGTGAGGCCGCTGTTTTCTTGATGTTGAGATGTTTGCCATGTTGAGAAGGCTGTAGTCTTTAATCTTCTGCAGCAAGCACTTCAAGTCCTCTTCACTTTCAGCAAGTAAGATTGTGTCCTCTGGATAATGCTGGCAATTGATGAGTCTTCTTCCTATCCTGATGCATATTCTTTATATAATTCAACTTCTCAAATGATTTGCCCAGCACACAGATTGAATAGATATGGAAAAAGGAAAGAGGTCCTGAAACACACCTCTCTTGATTTTTAAACCATGCTGTGTTCCTTTGCTCTGTTCTGACAATAGTCTTTTGGTCTACGTCTAGGTTTCTCATGAGCACAGTTAAATGTTCTGGGATTCCCATTCTTCTCAATGTTAGCCATAGTTTGTTATGATTCACACAGTCAAACCCCTTTACATAGTTAATAAAGCACAGGTAGACATCCTTCTACTATTCTCTGCTTTCAGCTGAGATCCATCTGATATCAGCAATGAGATTCTTTGTGCCACGACCTCTTCTGTATCCAGGTTGAACTTCAGGCAGTTTTCTGTTGAGGTACTGTTTTAGCCATCTTTAAATACTCTTCAGCAAGATTTTATTTGCATGTGACAGTAATGATATTGTTTGATAATTTCCAAATTCTGTTGCATAACCATTTTGGGGAATGGGAACAAGTATAGATCTCTTCCAGGCAGTTGACCAGGTAGCTCTCTTCTAAATTTCTTCACACAGACCAGTGAAGAAATGGGCTGCATCTGTTTATCGAAACATGACAATTGGTATTCCATCAATTCCTGGGGCTCGTTTTTTGCCAAGGCCTTCACTACAGCTTGAACTTTTTCCTTCATTACATTACCTCCTGAAATGGTACCATGTCAGCCAATTCTCTTTGGTAGAGTGACTCCGTATATTCCTTCCATCTTTTTGGTGCTTCCTGGATCATTCAAGATTTTGGCCACAGCATCCTTCAGTATTGCAGTTCAGGGCTTGGACTTGTTTTTCAGTTCTTTCCTCCTGAGAAATACCAAGCTAGTTCTTTCTTCCCTTTGGATTTTCTAACTCCAGCCCTTTGCACATTTTGTTATGTGTTCAAACTCCAGATCTGCCCCTTACTGTTCTGTGAGCTTAGCCAGTGCACTTCACCTTCCTGGATGCATCTTCCCACCTGCACTGTTGTAACAGTGTCCATATCATAGACTCACTGGAGCATGAACTAGCTAGTCTCTGTGAAATGACGCACAGGGTGAAATGGCTCATGGTGGATCCCAGTGAGCTGTAAATGCCTGGTGATGGTCACTGCCATTCTTCTTGACCCATCTTCTCTATACCCAAGAGGCAGACAGATGTATCTGGTAGTGAGGCTTCACTGCTTGGCAGATGGACACAGGAGAGGTTCGGTGCTGCTGTGCTGACCCACCTCGGGCTCTGTTGAGGTCCATCTCCAGCAACAAGCCCCTCCTGAGACCTAGATCACAGAAGGTCCAAACTGGACAGAAAACATATGTCCCTCCCCTCATATGACAGATGAGGAAACTGAGGCCCAGAAAAACCTTCCACCTCAGAGACATTTCCAGAAGTTCAGCGGTGTGTATATGTTGATATTCCTTCTCGGTGAGAGATGAGTCGTTGCACCTGATCTCTCCTCAGAAGGGCATACTGTGCCTGATGGGCCTCTCGATCTCAGAGGACGCCATGTGTGTGCTGCTGGGGCCTGTTTACCAAGCGACCTGGAAATCATGGTTCTGAGTGGGCCCCAGAAGGAGCAGAGGCTCTGCAGGAGGTCCAGGCAGCTGTGCAAATGGTTCTGCCGTCTGGGCCATGTGATCTTCTGAACAAAAGGTGTTAGTGGCAGAGAGAGCTGCTCCCGGAAGGCTTTTTGGTGAACCATAGTGCAGACCCTTGGGATTCTGGAGTAAATATCTACCTAACTTAAAACTAACTACTCTCCTTCAAGGAACAGCTTTTGAGTTGTTACCGGGCCTTGTTGTATTGTGTACCGGAGAGTTGGAACCGACCCAAAGCTGACCCTCTGGTGGGTTTTCAGAGGTGATTCATCACACAGGAGGGATTGTCCATTCTTCTCCCTAGGAGCAGCTGGTGGCTTTGAACTGCATACCTTTGGGATTGCAGTGCAGCTTCTTGCCACCAGGCCACCAGAGTGGAGACTGAATGCTTAGCTTTGGGACTCCATGAACATGGTATTGTCTGACTCACAGAGTCATCGAGGTAGTTGGATGTACACGCAGCACACATCTAATGGAAGTGCTCTGGGCGACGCGAGGTCAGACTTCCTCCAAGGTCAGGCTCAGTGGCCAGTCACTCCCCTTCCCAAAGAAGTTGACGGGGCAGCAGAGGAGGGGCATGCGAGTCCTTTAGACCCGCTCAGTCCTGGCTCCACCCTGCTCCTTTCTCCCCAGTCATCATTGTTGCTCCTATCCATACCCCGAGCCCCCACTTCCCCTACTTCCTGGGGTTCTGTCTTCTCCGGACCTGTGCTCTGTTTGCTGTGGTGATAATTGAAGTGGGGTAGTAGATTGAGCTGAGCTGGAGACAGGAGACTGGTAGGTCAGCTGGGATGGTGTTCAGTGTGTAACAGGCACTTAGGGAGGGCAGCTTACACACTAGAGGCTGACACTTCTTACACAGAAGACTGGGGTTGGCACTCCAGGCTTCCCATCTCTCCCTGACTGTGCTCTGCTAGCAGAACTTTGAGCCCCCTGCGTGGTCATCTCCTGGTCACACGTTGGCTGCCCCACCTCCCACTTCGTTTCAGTTCTAAGTAGGAAGACAGATGAGGCAAAGGGTCTGTGCCAACAGGGTGCAGAAATGCTGCCTAGCAACTTCTGCTCAGCTCTCATTGGCCAGACCGGTGGATGGCACAGAGTTATACCTTGTCACGGCAAGGGAGCATGGAGGTTTTTTCAAGCTAAGCAGATCACTGCCTCTGACAAACTTCTGTTTTACAGTACAGAAGTGGGGCTGGACGTCTGGCTGGGTGGCTAGCGGTCAGCCTTGTTCTGTGGCTGCAGTTGCATCCTTTCTAGGGCTCACATGTGCATATGGGGCCTCAGGGTGGCTCCCAGAATGATCCCCACATTGGGGCTGACTCAGGGCTTGGCTCACAGGAGGCTGACTGCGTCCCTGACTCAGCCTTCATCCGGGTGCCTTTGATCGGACCTTGCCTTTCTGTACCTCAGGCTCCAGCTTGGTTCACCTTCTGTTTTGAATCACTGTGTTATTACGCTTTTCTTCAAACCAACTCATTTACTGACCTTGTTTGTTGGTGTTAGGGTAAATGGATTTGGTTGGTTTTTTTTCTTACTTATAGTGACTTCATGTGATCAAATAGAACCGCACCACAGGATTTCTTAAACAGAATTCTTTACAGGAGCTGATCACTGTGTCTTTCTCCTCTTGTGCTGATGCGTGAGTCTGCACCACCAATTTTTCTGTTAGCAAACAACTGCTTAACCACTGTGCCACCAGCCAAAACCAAATAGACCCATTTCCACCAAGGTGATTGCAACTCTTGGCAAACCTATAGGATAGAGTACAATTGTCCCATAGGATCCCCACGGCTCTAAGCTCTGGTGGCCTAGCGGTAAAGGAGGTGCACTGCCAATCCCAAAGCAGGGAGTTTGAATCCACCAGCTGCATCACCGAAGAAAGATGGACAGTCTCCTCCTGTGCTATTTATAGCCTCTGAATCCCCCCTAGGGGGTCAGCTGTGAGCATCCAACAACAACAGTCTCTGCTAAAGTCAGCTGTCATCTCTCTTTCCTACAAAGTGGATGATGGGTTTAAATCATTGACCTTGAGATCAGCAATCATCTGGCCACCAGGGCTCATTTTCTGGCCTTAATAACTGTTCAACCAGCAGTTTTTATCTTACTAGCAGAAACCCATGTCTGCTGTTAGAGACCTCTCCAAAGTACTGGAGAGAAACGATGTCAGTCTGGAGACTAAGGTGTGCCTGATCTAAGCCATAGTCTTTGCTGTTTCTTGCCATGCGTCAGAGAGCTGGACAATGACTAGAGATGATAGTAGGAGAATTGATGCCTTTGAGCTGTGGTGCTGGAGAAGGGTATTGAATATACCATGAACAAACAGGTTCGTCCTGGACAGGGTTAAACCAGGCTGCTCCATGGAGACAAGGATTCTGAAGCTTCGTGTGACATACTTTGGACATGTTGTGAGGAGGGATCAGTCCTTGGAGAAGGACATCATGCTTGGGAGGACAGCGGAGGAGGGGAAGGCCCTTGATGACATGGATTGATTCAGTGACTGGGCAAATGGGGTTGGTGTGTTGGAAACAGTAAGGTTGGCTCAGGACAGAGTAGGATTCAGAGCTGTTGTACACAGGGTCGCTATGAGTCGCAGATGACTCAATGGCACATAACAACAACAACCATAACCTCTACAGCATTAGTGTCACTCGCCACAAACTGCCAAGATAAGCATGCTAAAAGGAAGTCAACATTAGAGAGCTTCGGTCACCTCCTCATGCCTGGGCAGTATGTAAGGCATACTTCATCTTTGTTTAAAAAGGGAGATTTCAAGTGTTAGAAAGATGTTACAGATGTTCAACCACCAAGGTGAGGCCTTCCCCTTCATCTGTGCCCCCCCCCACCATGATCTAAGCTACATACACCACCTCCCAGGTCACCAGGCACAAAGTGACCTTGCTGGCCCCTCTCTCCTGAGCTGACAGTGGGCCATGCCACGTGCTTTTGTCCTTCCTCTATTTCCAGGTAGCCAGCGCCTTGGCAGGATGGAGGTCCTGAAGGAAAAAGTGGAGGAGGAGGAGGAGGCTGAGCGAGAGGAGGGGGCCGAGTGGCCTTTGAGGTCTGAGAAGACGACAAAGCCACCGTGGAAGGTGCCAAGCACCCTGACGCAGGATATACTGAAGGACTTGGAGCAGAAGCTGTCGGAGATTGAGGTCTCTGTCCCAGAAGAGCCCCAGTGAGTGGTGGTGGGAGCTTCGGCCTGAGCCAGACCAGGAGAGGGCAGTGGGTAGGAGGAAGGGCTCGATTTTAGACAGCCTAATCTGCAAGGATTCTGAGGCTCCGTCTAACATACTTTGGACATGTTGTGAGGAGAGACCGGTCCTTGGAGAAGGACATCATGCTTGGGAGGGTGGAGGGACAGCGCAGAAGAGGAAGGTCCTCTATGAGGTGGATGGATTCAGTGACTGGGATAATTGGGATGGGAGTGTCAGAGACAGTGCGATTGGCACAGGACAGAGCGGAGTTTAGGGCTGTTGTACATAGGGTCGCTATGAGTTGTAAGCAACTCGATAGCACATAACAACAACAACAACAACAATCTGCATCTCAATGAGGGTTGGTGTGTTGGAAGGCGAGACTGGCTCAGGACAGGGCAGGCTTCAGAGCTGCTGTACGGCACATAACAACAACAACAACAACAATCTGTGTCTCACTAATGTTTAGCTGTGGGCTAGTCACTTAACCCTCTGTGCCTGAGACCTCCCAGCCCATCCCAGCTAAGGTGGATCGAGGCTCCCCGAGGGCAGGAACAGCCTCCCATGTGGACATCCTTCTTGTGCACACAGGCCCAAGGACACCATTGATATCTCCGAGCTGCCCGCTTCCTACAAAACCAACACACCCAAGGAGGAGCAAATGCTGCAGGTGGCAGACAACTTCTCTCGCCAGTACAGTCACCTGTGCCCAGACCGTGTGCCCCTCCTACTGTATCCAGTGAATGAGTGCCAAGTGCCTGTAAGGCTGGGGAGGTGGAAGGCAGATATGGGGTCTAGGAAAAAAGAGGGCTGAGGGTGAGAATGGAGCTTGGGTGAGAGCAGAAAGTGAAGGCAGGGATGGGATGGGACGGGAGGGAAGGGGATGGGCTGGGATAGAGGCAGACAGCAGAGGGTGGAGGACAGTGGGATGGGTTCTCTGAGGTTTTCAGCCAGACCACAGACATCCCAAGCCTGAACAGAGCTTTGCCTCGCTCAGCTCCTCCTCTGCGAAAGCATAAACCCAAAGGCCAACAAGGCCCAGCAGCTCTGCTAATTGCAGGGTTTGTAGGAACTTGCATGGCTAACCCAGTACGTAGCACCTCTCTAGGGGTTCAAATCCACCAGCAGCTCCATGGCAGAAAGATGGGCAATTTTCTCCTGTTTAATTTACAGCCTCTGAAAACTCACGGGAGGGTCAGCTATGAGTATGGTCCAACTCGGCAGCAATGAAGTTTTCTGCAGACCTGGGTTACTAGATAAATAGAAGAGAGGGGTTGAGAATCTTTGAGTAATAAATGCTGGCTGCTAATTGCCTCATGGATTAAGTAAAAGAAATCTGTTGGTCCTGGGCAGCCACTGCAACCTTTGGTTTAATTCCACATCTTCAGCCACAGGCTGAATTGTGTCTCCCAAAATATGTGTGTATGCAATGATGCGAAGTGGCAGTTACATAATAATACTCTTGTAAGAGAATTGATGCCTTTGAGCTGTGGTGCTGGAGAATATACCGTGGACTTCTGGGAGAACACACAGGTTCATCCTAGAGAGGGTGAGACCAGGCTGTTCCTTGGAGGCAAGAATTCTGAGACTTTGTCTGACATACTTTGGGCATGTTGCAAGGAAGGACAGGTCCTTGAAGAGGGACATCATGCTTGGGAGGGTGGAGAGATGGAGAAAGAGAGTGAGACCATTGATGAGATAGATGGATTAATACAGTGCCTGGGGTAATGAGAGTAGGAGTGTCAGAGACAGTGAAGTTGGCAAAGGATAGATCACGTTTCAGAGCTGTTGTACACAGGGTGGTTGAGACAGTGAGCCTTCTGGAGACTAAGGTGCGCCTGACTCAGGCCACAGTCTACACAGTTGCTAGCTCTGCATCAGACAATGACTAAAGACGTCAGGAGAAGGATTGATGCCTTTGAGTTGAGGGAGTGTGGTGCTGGAGAAGAGCATTGAACGTGCCATGGACTGCCAAGAGAACTAACAGGTTTATCCGGGAAAGGGTGAAACCACGCTGCTCCTTGGAGGCAAGGATTTTGAAGCTCTGTCTCACATACTTTGGGCACATGGCCAGGAGGGGCCAGTCCCTGGAGAAGGACCCCATGGTTAGAAGGTGGAGGGACAGCGTAGGAGAAGACGACTCCGGATGACCTGGATTGACACAGTAACATGGGATAGGTGTGTCGGAGACAGAGTGGCTCAGGATAGAACAGAGTTCAGAGCTATTGTACATAGGGTCGCTATGAGTCGCAGGTGACTCGATGGCACATAACAACAACCACCACCACCAGGAATAGCTGTGTGAGGAGTCTTGTTACGACTCCCATGTATACGTGAAGACACTGGGTCTCGGAGAAGTGAGCGGACTTCCTTAGACTCACACAATCTGAACCTGAGCTTGAGGTCTGGTTCTCGGCTGCCACCCAGTGTGGGAGATTTGATGTTACTAGGACAAGGGTCTGCCCTGGCCACCTAATGCCCACAGGGCCTGGCATCCCAAGCCAGCACCGGCCTCCTGGGCCTTCCCAAAGGCCAACTCCATCAGCAGCTGGCCTTCTAGGGTCTCTTTTGCACACGGTCCCCTCGCCAAGTGTCTCCGTTTACTAGAGCTGCTGAAATAGAAATACCACAAATGAGTTGCTTTCATAAACAAGGTGGGTGGATTTTTATTTCCCTTCACAACATAGGAGGCTTGAAGTCTGAGTTCCAGGCCTCAGTTACAGAAAAACCCTTTTATGACGGATCTGGAGAAATCTCCACCTCGGCCTTTCAGCATTCTTTGGCAATCTCCATGGAGTAGTGACCCTTACCCCGTTTGTGCGTCTTATGTCAGTGTCTCGTCTGTGATTTACACATCTCACACATGATTAGGGTTAAGACATACCCTCCACTGGCATGACCTCATTAATATAACAAAGAAAATCTGATTCCAAACGGGGGTAGAATTTTTCCTTGTGGTCCTAGTAAGGCCAAACTAGTGTAGGGTGTCAAGTATAAAAGTGAAGACTTCAAACATTTTGGGGGTTGCAATTAAGTACGTAACCCTAGGTTCTTCGCCTGCAGAAGTTCGTGAGCACTACCATTCGGCCCACACTGATGCCCTACCCTGACCTCTACAACTGGGACAGCTGTGCCCAGTTTGTCGCTGACTTCCTCACCATGGAGCCCCTGCCTGACCCCCTTAAGCCGGTAAGCTCATCCAGCCGCACCCTTACGCCCTTGAAGCTTAAAGTGGGAAAACAGGTCGAAGCTGGTCGGGGCTTTGGCCACAGCACATGAATCAATCTGGACCAGAGCCCTCAGAGATTCTCCCCACTAGTGGGAAAGAGGTCCAGAGAGGGCTGAGCACTTACTTAAGGTCATACGGCAAGCCTGGGACTGGAGAAAGAGTCTCCCTTTGGGTGGAGGAAAAAAGAGAGGAGAAAAAAAAAAGAGGCCCTCCCACCCAGAGTGATGTTCATGCAACACGGGTTGTGCATTTTCTGGGGGCCAGAGCCTCTGCTTTTCATCCCAGTCATAGCAGGCTCCCTGCCTCACAACAAGGAAGAGCCCACTGGGGTCCCGTTGTTGGTGGGCTGTGACTGGTGGGGCGGCCAGGTGGGGGCTGCCAGTGGGAACCACGCCGCCCCGCTGCTGTGCCCAGCCCACGGTCCTGTACTCCTCGACCACGGTGCTCAAGCAGCAAAAGGGCACCTGCTTCGACTTCAGCACGCTGCTCTGCTCACTGCTCATCGGCGCTGGCTACGATGCCTACTGTGTTAACGGCTACGCGTCCAAGGACATGTGCCTCATGGACCTGACGTGGGAGGTGTGCCCGCTTACCGTGAAGGTCAAGGAGGTGCGTCCGGCTGGGTGTGCGCTGCCCAGCGGCGTTCCACAGGTGGTTGTAGGGGAGGATCCAGGGTGGGGCGTGAAAAATGGTGCAGCCACCTCGGAAAACTCTGGGGACCCTCGAAGAGTTAAACATGAAGTCGTACCAGTGGGAGTTGCTGTCAAGTCAGCTTCAACTTTTTTCCTGCATTCGAGGAAAGTTGTGCTCCATGGGGTGATTTTTCCCAAATAAAGTTTCAGGGGTTTTCCCCTAAGGTTCTTCCTCCCCAGGGTAACTCCTCGAGGTGAACTCAATCCTCCAATCCTCAGTTATACGTGATTTAGCAATCATATACATGTTTTCAGAGGCAGTTAATCACACAGGAGTTGCCCATCCTTCTCCCATGGA